CTTCTTAGTGGCTGACATAACCTGTCGTCATTAAGGAGAGGACGGCCGCCGCGGCGGCGCGGCCAAAAATTACCACATCAACAATGCATAGGAAGCCGTTATTCTCGAAAAATTTACGACCTCTTTCGCGGCGCATTAATGGAGTCCCGATAGATAGAATTCCCTCCCCTCCCTCCCGCCACCACCATATCTTTCTCTCTTGTGTTTTATGACCTCAGCCCCCCCTCTCCCCCCTCCCTTCCTCTCCCTCTCTCCCCTCAACCTCCCACTCTCCGCAGAGACTTTTGCATTGCGAACGCCGCCCTGCTTCGATACTGAACCGACTCCCCCCTTTCTTTCACAATGATTCCGATTGCCTCTCTCGGTTCTATTCGGTTCCGCAATCAATCAGTAATTAGGAGCCCTCTGCGAGGAAGTAGCGGATCCGCCGCCTTCTTCGGACGATCCGATGAGGCGGGTCGTCGTCGTTCAGTACTATTGGCAGGAGTGGAGAGAGATGCCGCTTACACCAAGCGCTCTCGTTCCGTGCAGTCAGTGTGAACTGACGGATGTATGTGTGTGGGAGAAAAGATTCCTCTTCTGTGCATTTTAGAGCGTAATTATTATTGTACATAAAAATGCATGGTAAAGTCTGCATGACATGCTCCTCCATTTCGCCCGCAAACTAAATGCACGAAAGACTTCAGCAATTTAGTGTGTCCAAATCGTGCCTCTGTTTTCCCATCCCCCCCTCACCGCCCTCTACCCCCCATCTCTCTCTCTCTTTCTCTCTCTATCACACACACATACGCGCCCGCACACACACACACAAACACATACTCACACTCGGGGGAACCCGTTCCCCGCAGACTTCCGTGTTAAGCACCAATTATCACCCCGATGTCAATCTCTTGCCCGACTGGACCGAGCCGCCTGCAGCTTTGCGTGGCGTGGCGCGCCGGCGCGGCTTGGTGGGGCGTCGTCGTGTTCCGCCAAGTTTGGCGTTGTCAAACATTTCTCATAGCTCGGCCCCGCCATCACCGGGGTGGCAGCACACACACACACACACACACACACACACACACACACACACACACACGGGCCAGAGCCCCCCCCCCCCCCCCCCCCCCCCCCCACGGGCCATCGACCCCCCCCCCCCAACCCCCTCTAATCCCAATTCTAATCCAAACCAGTGGCTCCATCGCGGTGGCGCAACGACAAACAGTTCAAACGCTACCAATATCAATATCGGCCCCGAGTTGCAATATGTTTATAAAATGGGTGTGTTATTCGTAACTCTTCTCCGTCCGCAGAGAGTGCGTTGTGTGCTGTTTAAGTTTAGTCCGTCCTGCAACACTGTCGGGAATAATAAGAGACTGGTCGTGATTAGAGAGACCCGCGCGCGGAGGGATTTCCGTCAGCTTTGATTTCTCTCGTCAGCTCTACTTCCTGTTTGACTGGCCGGCCGGCGGGCGGCGTCGCCTCCAGCCTCCAGAGCGCCTCCTCATTCGGGCCAAATCAACACTGATAAACTTAAGTGTGCGACTGCCTAACACTTATAAGTGTGCAACTGCAAGTTGGATATGAATACTTGCAAGTGTGCAACGCCGTAGTAGTGCACTTGAAAGTGTTCAACTCGGTAGGTGTGCACTTGCAAGTGTGCAACGACTCCTCTGTTGTTGAACACTTCTTTAGATTAAACGCTCACTGTCTTGGTATTGCAATTGGAAGTGCACACCTATCGAGTTGAACACTTCCAAGTGCACTTCTACGGAGTTGAAAACTTTTAAGTATTCAACTAGTATCTGCTTATTGCAAGCTTGCAGTAGTTACACATTGCAAGTGTTAAGCAGTTGCACACTTAGTTTACACTTAGCATTTCAAAAATATTTATTGCTTGAAGTTGCATATTAATTTTAACAGTTTTGGTCGGAAGGAGTAATAACCACTTCCATCATAGTTCACCGAGATCACGCGGCCCGAACAGCAGTTTCTTTCCGCCATCATAAAGTCTTTGATTGACAAGTTGCGTCACTCTTACCTCCGTGCGGCGGCGGCGACCGTCCTGCGAAAGAACAAAAAAAAAATCAGCCAAGTATATGAACTTAAAGATATGGCTGCGGTAATGTGTTGTTGTGTTGGTACAGTGTGAGCGCGCTCTCTGGCCGCACGTGGGAAAATCCTAAAACCAAAAATAAAACTCGTTGCTGATTTGTGACCGCTCGGCCGCCCTGTCGAGCTCGGCTCAGAGCGAAGCCAATTACTTTGCAGCCGGTCACCACGGCGCGCCGGTCCGGCCCGGTCGCATGCTACACGCTGCAGTCGTGCTGCAGATGAGCACCAAACGGAATGAGAGGATGTCTTTGCTAGTCAAAGTCTTATTCTTTCTTATCCCCGATGTTCTTCCTCCTCCTCATCGCCCCAATCTCCTCCAATGCGGCTGCCAAATAATACTAGTTGTGCGCAATAGCTCGGCACGTGTCGGGCGTGGCGGGCGTGCCCTCGCGTTCGGCAGACAGCCTCCTTTGTCGTGCATGACCGTGTTTATCGCCGCAGGCGAAACGAAAAGAGCCGCAGGCTGACAAGATAGAGCAGGGGCAAAATTTAAAAAAAAAAAAATGGAAAACGAAAGCATACAAACTTTTTTTGTCAGAGTATCATTTTCTGTCATTTTTGTCAGTTTAAATACCTCATTTCTTTACTTTCCTTCACAAAAACATGCACCCTTTTCATGGTGACAGAAAAAGCTGTAGGCAGACCTGTCACATTGATGTTCCTCGCGGCGTTGCCTACCCTGTGGACGCCAAGCGCCCAGGCGCCTTGTCGATAGGCAGACCTGTCACGCCGGTGTGCCTCGCGGCGTTGCCTACCCTGCGGCCGCCAGGCGCTTAGGCGCCTTGTCGATAGGCAGACCGGTCACGCTGGTGTGCCTCGCGGCGTTGCCTACCCTGCGGCCGCCAGGCGCTTGGGCGCCTTGTCGATAGGATAGGCAGACCTGTAACGCTAGTGTGCCTTGCGGCCTTGCCTACGCTGTGGCCCCTAGGCGCTCAGGCGCCTGGTCGATAGGCCGACCTGTCACGCTGGTGTGCCCTGCGGCGTTGCCTACCCTGTGGACGCCAGGCGCCCACAGCCCGTTTGCCCGGCTGGTGCCGAGCTGGCTGGGTGCGTGGGGTCCGGTGGGGTCCGGGGGCACCTCTCGTGCGTTGAGCGGCCGCGCGATCGGGGCGTCGCGCAGCCGCAGCCCGGCGACGCGGACGTTGCGAGTATGCAAATGCGCCGATTGTGCAAAGAGGGTGGGGGGAGGGGGGAGCACAGGCGCAAAATTGAAGGCGGTGGGGAATGAAGGGGGAGAGTCCTCACGCACGGCATGCTGGCGCGGCGAGTCCCTCGGGGGCCACCCGTAAGTCGCTCGCGGAGGACAATCTGTTGTTCTTATAAGACACTTTAGAGTGCGTGGCTGCTCTGTCAAACTACGATAAGAGAAAAGTCTTTTTGCAAAGTGAAAAAAGACCTTTCAGTGCGTGTTAAGGTGGACCGAATTACTTAAGTGCACATCGTTTACAGTCGTTTTCAAAACTCTCTGTTTTCCGTCATGTTTGCAGGCGAGGGCTGCGCCGAGAAGCCGCTGTCGACGCTGTGGAAGAACTACACGGCGTCCAACAAGCCCGACGTCAACATGAAGGTGGCGGTGACGAGGAGCGGGCTCAAGGCCACGACGCGCGAGCACGGCCTCACCGAGTACTGGAGCCACCGCATCACCCACTGCGCCGCGCCCGCCGCCTTCCCGAGGGTCTTCTGCTGGGTCAGTACCAGAGCACACGTGTGACGGACCTACACTACACGCTCACACACACACACTTACTCACAATCATCTGCACTCTCTCACACACACGCGCGCGCACACACTCACACGCGGCGCCGACCGCGGGAGCAATTACGAGGAAACTCCCCGACTAGCCCATAGGACCGGTTTTTCCTCTCAGCTTACCACACGCGTGTTTGATTTTATTACTACAAATTCGTGAATTGGCCGAACGAACGCAACGCGGATGGCGATGGCCACGGCGGATAGACAGATTGGCTGTGGCAGGTTTGGGGAAGGGGGGGGGGCGAGAGAGACAGAGAGAGAGAGAGCATCTTTCCTTGGTCCGGCGTGCGCCGGTGTTATCCAGTTTTATGGAATCGTCCACAAATAACAACTTTGCCCGCGGTTCGGCCCCGGGTGTGTTTAAAGACGACATGATTGGGTGCTCTGATTGGTCTGCGAGCCCACCTTCCCCTACACTCACGGCGATTTAGGTTCATTCCCGTCTCACGCTATAGTACCGACATGCAAGTGACCCGGAGTGACTTGCCAAAAGAAAAGACAGCGCTACAGTAGTTGCATCTGAAACTAGTGACGAATACCGAAGGTTTTTAACTGCCATCCAAGTATATTCCATGCTTGAAAAATTTTACCCCGGGGTACAAATATCATGGGGTCTACGTGGACTCCAATGTCCTGATCCTTGTGGGAACTCATAATATTTGGAATCCCCCCCCCCCCCCCACTTTCCACGTGGTCTGAACGGCCCCAAAGCAGTATCGCAAAATAATTCAACGTATCGCAAAATATCGTGGTATACCGAGGCTCGTCGACGATGCTAACGAAGCTGACTGTGTGTTGTTGCAGGTGTACCGCCACGAGGGCCGCAAGCTGAAGCAGGAGCTGCGCTGCCACGCGGTGCTGTGCGCGCGCGAGGACCAGGCGCGCCGCATGGCGCAGCAGCTCACCGAGCGGCTGGCGCTGGCGCTGCTCGAGTTCCGGAGGGACAAGCAGAGCCGTGAGCAGGCGCGCCTGTCGCTGGCCAACGCCCTCCACGACAACCCCTCGCTGCCGCAGCGCAAGCTGCTCCTGTCGACGGGCGCGTCCAACTACCGACCGCCGCTCGAGCGCTCCAAGTCGGCGCCCAAGCTCAGCTCCATCGAGGAGGTCGCCGAGGAGGACGAGGCCGGCGGCGTGCTCGTGTTCGGCCACCCCCACGCCGTGGCGCGCTTCCTGCGCGAGGAGCGCCTCGCGGGCGCGCGGCGCCAGCGCTTCCGCGAGAGCCTGCGCCGCAAGATCGCCGCCCGGCTGTCCGAGGAGGCCGAGGAGCCCGAGGACCCCTTTCGCGAGGACCCCCGCCGCGAGACGCTCACCGTCGTCAGGGTCAACTCGATCGAGGAGGTGCCTGACCCAGACCCGGCGCCCCCCGGCGCGCGGGAGCCCCCTCTGCCCCTGCACCACCACCAGCCCCCTGCAGGGGTTCCCGCCGGCCCCGCCGGCCCTAAGGCGCGCACCTACCTCCTGGACGCCGAGGACACCGCCGAGAGTGACGAGGGCTCCAGTAGTCTGCAGAGCATCTCCTCGGACGGCACCACCTCCTTGACACACTCGCACAGCCGCACCGACTCCGGCGAGGACTTCTGCCTGGGTGCGGACGCGCTCAAGACGTCGCAGCACCTCCCCGACCACGACGACGGCATGGTTTCGTCCTGGGAGGGCGCGGCTCTGGCCATGGCGCTCGCAGGACGTGCTGAGCGGGATGTCCTAGCAGAGGGGGACGACTTTGACGACAACGTGAGCGACGAGAGCGGCTACGTAGAGGCGCCGTCAGAGGCCAGCGAGGCCCTGCACCACCACGCATTGGCTCTAAGGGTGAACCACAGGGTCGACCGGAGGGTCGACCGGAGAGTCAGAGTGGACCATATGGTGGATCACAGGTTGGACCACAGGGTGGAGCACTCCTTAGCCAAAGCGTGCGCTGAGGCATGCTCTCTTCGTCAGGGCCTACAAGTCTGATGACTGTGGTCGTGAAGACAGTGTCTGACAGTGAGAAAAAAACGAGTCTTAGGAGGTCCCAAGGGTATACTCGATACCCTGCAGTTGGAATTTGCATACTTTTTAAAAGTAAGTATTTTTATTTTCCCAACTATATGATGTGTGACCCATTTCATATCTTTAATTTTTAAAACAGCAAAGTTGGTTACTCTCAAAAGGGACTAGTCACTCAAGTTTTTCACTGTAATTCACTAATTTTTTTCTTTGTGATGGCCTTGCAATTTAGTCCCCATTTGTTACGCTCTAATCAAAGATATAATTATAAAATTTGTTGCCATGAAAAGTTTCAAACTATTTACTCATTTACCTAGTGAGGATAGTGAAAGTTTATAGAATAGTTGTAAAATGAACCCCTCCATAAGAGTAGAGAGTACAATGGTATATGACAGATCCAGTACCAATGATGAGAAATCATAATACTACTTCTAGTTTGGGTCTTAAGCTTCAGCTTAAGCACTATTACTATTAGTGATTAAATTCATTGTAGACTACAAAAACCATTTAATGTTACCATTTATATTAGATATTTATTGAATGTTTGTCAAAGTGCTTTTTTTTTCTTGCTTTAAAAAAAACAAACAAATTATGACTTGAATCATTTGACCTGTTTTATTGCTTGACCTCATTATTCTGATTTAGTAGCTTCTGTACTTCTTAGTCACATTCCTTGATGCTTACGTCATAATTAAGGGTCAGGTGACAATTTGACTATGCTAGTCATTAATTGAACCTGCTGCAATAAGTGGAAAATAAGTAGAAGCAGTAAAGTGTCTAGTACTGAACACAGATAATTCATTAAGAGCATGTTTTTAATACTCACAATTTTCTGAGTTATATGTTTTGACTTGCTGCCATGCAGCAAAAAAGAAAAGAAGCATTTTTTTCTATTTCATTAATGAAACAGTTCAAGCAGTCAAGCAAGTATTACTAGAACAGTCTTGCTTACTCAAAAATACAAACTCTTTGTTCAGTGCTCTACCTTATAGTCCAGTCACAGCAAGCAACTTTTGAAGTCATGGATTGGTAAACCTGTCTCTAGTCTAAGGACACGCTCAAACTGTATTGAATTGTACATAGAGTAGTAAAGAAACTAAGCTGGATTAAAAATGCCAGCCAAAAAAAGTTTCATGAATGGTGTAAATAGCTTGCAGTTTTACCTAGTAAGTAATCTAATTGTAACATCCTATATACCCTATTTTCAAAACAGACACAACTGGAAAATGTACCCCAGCGAGCAATCATCAATCAAACTTACATCAAATTGACGAGAGTCGGTCAAAATTTCATTAAAACTGGAGCATTTTTACATCAAAATTTCATTACTGACGGAAAACTGACGTCAAATTGATGTGCTATAGTTGAGCATTGCTCGCTGGGTACCACAATATCATCTAGCAAGAAATTGCATAATTTGACAGAGGGCCAAGAACAAAAGTCACATCTTTAAATTTGTTTAATTTTTTTTTTGGAATGACACTGAAGTTATGGATTTTGAGATTAATTAAGGGTAGGACTGTTGCTATATAAGGTAAAGTCTTCGGCAGATCTGTCTGTGATTGGTTTGTATGGATATTTATAATTGTGCTCTACATTCAGATAGAGAATTAGATATTAGAATGTAAAAAACAGTAAAGTTGCTTTAAATATGATTTTGCCAAGTCTGTTGACTCAAATGAATGCAGAATAAGTAAAGAGCTCATAATTTCTGAACCTTTTTAGTCTTATTTGTAGAATAGATTATTCTGTCCCATGAGCTATGCTGTCCAATGATAGTATGCACATTATTCTCTGTAACTCTTTCCACAATATAGTACAAATTGATATGTGTGTGTGTGTGTGCGCGCGTATGAATGGGTGCGTGCGTGTGAATGTGTGCGCGTGCGTGTGCCTTAAAGTGGATTTCTACCCAAATTAAAATTGCTAATACAAAGTAGAGGTTTTTAAAAGTACTGGTTTCTCAAAATTTCTTCTAGGTTTCAGATGGAGTAATCTTTTCATCTTTCTGCAACCTGTTCCATGTTCGTCTTCTTAATTTCTTAGCACTGCAAACTTCACTACATGTGATAATTTGTGTTGTTGTTACATATGTATTGGAACTGTCACATTCTTTTGTCTTCAAGAGCACTTTCATGAAGTTAAAAAGAGTTCCTTCACAATTTAAAACTGACTACTGTATTTCTAATGCTGTAACATTAAAATCTTTTGATGTATGTTACAGTAAATCATTTTTTAAAGCAATCATTAAATAAAGAGAAGTGCAAAGTGATGAATGACTCTTCATTTGGGACCATGTTATTAATGATGAAACATACTTAACACACCATAGTCTGTTTAGTGCCACATATCCAAAATGTAATTGAGGCTTTTAACACTGTACTTCAACAACACCACACAAAAATTATAATACAGACCTGAGATTACTGTTATGTTTAAAAAGTAGTTCCCTCTTGCACTAAATTAATTTTGTGTTTTGTGTCTCCTTTGTCATGATTTGAACGCAGAACTGTAACTTCAAAATCTGTAGTTTTTAAAATCTTTATTAGGCATGAAATTTATCACAATAATGTAGGATGTATGATTTATAAAGGAGTAAAAGCAATGGCGAATCTCTCACACCAGTAAAGCATTTTCTTTTCCAAAGCAAATCTTAAACTACTGTTCTTTTGAGTTGAACTGTGAAACCCCTCACAAACTAACAACTACATGTGTTACAGGCCAAGTAAAATTTCACAGTTGAGTTTCATCCCCCTTCAGGATTCATAACAATTTGTGAGGTACCTTACTTACCAAATAATGAAATTATCTTTGCATTATAACTGATATGAAATCAAGTATAGTATATCGACCATTTGGTTTATGTTTTACAATGGCACAAGCAAAACACCCTTTCCTTAAATCTAAATGTGATAGGGTTATCACAGAGCTCACGCACATTTCAACCATCCTGCAATCATACATTAGAAATAAATTTATACTACAGTTTTATTCATTTCTAATAAAGATTTCACTCCATATTTAACGACTATGACTTTCACAAATGTGAATGTATCAATCACTTCTTATCCTTAAGTTTTCTGGAAAATTGTTTTAATAATGATTGAGTAAAATGAGGAACTACAGCTACTGCGAAGCAATAATTCATAGCACATGATATTTAGAATGAGAGTAGAGTTTGAATAATTAAAAAAACGAAAACCAACAACAAGGATAGACAACATAAGGCTTAAATTGAATGGCAATAGATACATTTATAGTTTAAATCAGTCTATTTCCAACATGTTTAAACAAATTATCAAGTTTCAACAATGTATTCTTTGCAGAGACAGATCACATCTGTTGGAACAAAAATATTTTCTTTATACAAAAATACCTTTGTGAAAAATTACCTTAACTTCTTATTTTAATGTATGAAAGTTACATATCTATGGGAGAATAAAATGTTCAACACCTTAAGCAGAAAGCACAGGTACTCAAACTCGAACTGTATTCTACAAATTAAATTGCTGTCATAACTTTATTTTCAAGGCACCAGTCTGAGAGTCAAAGCAAAATGTAATTGCATTAGATGCACAAAACGAGAATAATCTAGCATAATAATAAAAATTAAATAAACTGGTAAATGATAAAATAAGGAAAACTACATGTACAAATCGATAACAGTATATAAAATCAATAAATCTTACATAACCAATTATACATTAAAGATAGCTGTCAGATTCAGTCCCACTAATGGCAAAAATGGTAATTACTCCTTCATCAGTTCTTTCAATGAGAGAAGTATCCATTGCCTCTATGGGATCAACAATTTGTTAGGGACAATTCAAGGATGTACAAGAAGCTGGATGCACATATCAGAATATCATGCATCTCTTTGTAGCGAACAGAACAAAAGAACAAGTTCTATGCTCCACCTTGTCATAAACACAGCTTGAAAACATTAGTTTCCACATAATATAAAATCTAGCTCATGTATCACATAGGTAAATAAGAGTACTTTTTCCAGTACCTTAACAGAGAAAAGGGAAACATCTTAATTTAGGGTGGAAGGTTCTGTCAATTTCTACATGAAGTCAGCTCCTACAGAAAACTGGAACCTTTGATTGCTATGAGGCACAATCTTAAAATTAGAAATTTAATTTTAAAACATTATGGTACGGTAACTCATGTCTATTTGTGCTTCAAAATCCACATTTAATACCAAAGACATTCAATGACAAGGGACGGATAGAGTGACACTTTATCAAGGGAATATATTCTTATCCTTCATCTCAAAAGCAATTGCCTTTTCAATGGGGTTTTAAATCAGTTTCCATGGTACTAACAACATAATTATTTAGACGGCCAAGCCTCTCTATCCTATATTTGAAGGAATAGGTGACTGAAAGAACAAGATACCCACAAACAGATAGCATTTTAAAACGGGTTGGCCCTGACTGAGCTAATCTCGTCATGGTTATCTCAAATGTAAAAGATCTATCAATAGCTTTGCACAAGTGTACACAAATAATATAAACATTTATTTACTATACACATGCTTTAGGTTAATACGACTAGACCACTTACCTAAAATAAATATGGTTTTTTAAAAAGATGCAACTTCAACATGTCCTTGGTAAAAATGTGAACTCTTTGCTTGCAATATAAGCTCTCATCCTCATGAAAACTTTTAAGAATAATTTTGGAATGCATGAGAACCAAATCATGTTCCTGAAAAACCTTGGCATGTACCACAAGAAAATACAATTACAGGCAAGACGTTTGGTTCTCATATTACCAAATTCTAAAAAGCTATCCTTCTACTTTTATTTTAAAGAAATTGGTCCACAAAACACAATTAAACAACTGCAGGCTTGCGTTCACTGGAGGTGGAGCCCCTGGAGCTAGATGAAGACCTTACTGAGACCGATGGAAGACTAGTATCACCGCAAGCCTCTTCAGCAACCTCAGCTGCATCACATGCTTCCAACACACAACCTTCTGCTTCAGATCTACTTCCCAAAAGAGCGACACGAGATCCCCATTGACTTGGGAGACCTCCACGCTCAAAATGATCATCAGAGAAATCTAGATCAGTTGGTTGACTATTAATGGAGTGTTCACCTGAGGACATATTATAGCCGGTCACAGTGCCTTGGCTGTCTCCTTCTGAAATAGTTAGATAAATAGATGAATCACAAAATAAGGAATTGATTAATTGTAAATACGGATACATGCAATCTAGTTACAAACCTTGGAGTCTATTTGTAGATTCAGATGAGGAATCAGCCTGTTCTGGTACAGTGGTAGAACCACATAACCTCGCTCTCACATCCGCTGCTCTAGCCCTTGCAAAAGCAGACCTCGTTAGGATTGCATTAAGAGACTGCATTAAGGTATTGCTTGCCTGGCCATCATTTTCATTGGAGCGTGTTGTTGAACCCTCTTCAGTCTGTGGTTGAGCACCACTCGATGATCCTGATGAGGATGCAATTGAAGAGTAAGAGCTTCCCCACGGACTCGGATTTGTGTTTGAAATAGGGTTGCCCTGTTGTAAGTTTAAACAGAAAATAAGATTAGAGAGCAAGCAGGAATTTCTTATAAATTACCAGTTATTAAACTAAAGACATGCTTATGACGTTATAAAAGATTAGTTTGGAACTAACAGCAGATCTAACGAATGTTCCTCCTTGAGTGCCCTGTGATCCAGGCCGCATAAGAGGTGTAGTGTCATCAGCATCACTATCAGAGTCTGAATCAGACACCCGTTCATCTTGAGCAAATACTTTGCGTTTACAAACAGGGCATACACGCCGGTTGCGAGTTAGCCATGGATCAATACATTTGCTGTGGTAAGCTGCAAGTGAGAATTTAAATGGTAAATAATTTATTCAAAAAATGTAAAACGCAGTGGTTGTAAAAATTTTCCCTCACCATGAGAACAAGGCAGAATACGTAATTTTTCTCCTTCCTGATAATCTTCTAAGCATATTGCACATGTATCATAGGGATCACCCTTTTGAAATTTAGAAGTTGGAATTTGACGCAGAGATGCCGGTGGCAACCGATGTCTTCTTTGACGTCGCCGATCTTGTAAACATTTTAAAATCTGAAAGATTAAAATAGTTAGATAACAGACATTTTCTCTAGTAATAAAAGAACTAAGACATGTTATTTACCGTAAATGTCAGCATAATCAAGCAACAAATCCCAACAACAGTTGCAAATGGAAGAAGCAGGTGAGTGTTGATGTTAAATGGCATGTCATCATTGATGAGTATATAATGTCTACAAAGTTGGCTACAACCAAAATTTAAATATAAGCTATTAGATTAGGAATACATGTCAAAGTAAAAACCATTTAAAAAACTAATTTGTTAAGAACTCATCAGATAACATTCAAACTCACGTTTCATTATACTGGTATTTAGCTTTTAAAAATTTAAGTCCCGTGTATTCTCCAACAAACACAGAGGGTATGTGGATTCCAGTTGGATTTGCAGCAGACATTGGTTCTACATAAAAATAAATTTAAAGGTAGGTAGGAAATGGCGTATGAACTACTGATTAACTGATACATTCAGCTGGAGAAGGTACAGTAAGTAAAACTTCATTACTCACCAAGATCACTGGAATTGACATTGTGCACTATAACAGCACTAAAATTTGCAGCTTGGGCATTCCTCACTTTTAATTCATAGGAGCAATTACCTCTTGAAATCAATAACACCCATGGTTTTGTATAATTTGCTCCTAGTACAGGGGGTGGAGCAACAGGAACACATGCCATGGGTGGATCAGAATATACCAGATATCCCTAGAGTTGAAAGACATGATTAATTCTAGCACAAACCTCGGCATAAACAAAAAAAAATAATTGACAAATTCATAGGAAAGGAAATCCATCCCACCTCAAGGCCTTGAGAAGGTAGAGAATCTCCAAATCGAGATGGCAAATCTCTAAATTCCACTTCAACTTGCCCATAAGGGTCTTCACAGTAAACTAGGATGTCAGCACTCACAATAGTAATACTCTGACTAAACAGAGCAATGCTGCTCATAACAGCGATCATGTACAAAGCTGTTATATGTTGCGGAAGGGGACATGGTGGATACATGGTAACGTCTGCAAACCGAATAAAACATTGAAGCAAAAATAGATTTCTAGATGTCTATGTCTCCAATAATTAACTTTTAATTAACTTCTTACAGTAAGGCATCTGTTCCTTCTAGGTATTTTAGTTTATGGATGAATGATGGAGGCTATGCCATGGCACCAAAACCAGGTGGGATAGCAGCAGGCAACTGCAAACCATGACCTCTCAATCCCATACGATGCTTTGAGAGACACCCTGCAACATGTCACACCGATCAGAGATCTAAATGAAATCTACAAATATAGAAATAGTAGACTTAATGAATGTAATAACCATTTCAAACTAGATAATGTGACAAACCCAAAGACGCCTCATTCTTATCTAACATCAAGCAACAGAAGTCATTCAAAGAAAATTACCAAAAGGCTGTGAGAGAGAAAGCTAAGTATAAATTAGAGGGCCACGCAAAAGAAAGACAAAAAAATGACACGAGCAAAAAGAAAAATGCCGTTGTCACATTAATACAGGTCAAGAGCGGTCAACACTAGGTCAACTGATAAGATACCATTCAGCCATTACCCTTTGCATTCCTAATAGCATCTAGGCCCCGTTACATGAGTATACAGCGACAGTCTGCAATCTTTCGTCAGCACAAAATGTTGCGGGTGTCATTTCAGTGGGACAAACATTATTTGATACAATTTTGAGTACTGTATACAAAGTGTAACAGACACCAAGATGTAGAAATACACAAAACGACTGTTACTGAGCAAAAAAACTATCTCTAAAGAAAAATTGGTTTTGATTGCTAGCTATACAACAGTTTGTTAATTTGGGAGGTGAGTTAATCTTCCACTAGACAATGCAAACAAGCTGGAAGCATAGAGATTACTAAAGAAATTGTCATTTCATATGTATAAGACAACCTGGTATCTCGTCATGTCATTACAAGAGAATGAAACCATTGATAATAATTTCATAATTGAGTGCCACACAGCAAGTGAAGGAACGGGATTTAAAGTAAAGCAATCATAATTGCTAATTGTTGCTTATCCAAATTCCATAGACTAAAGATTAAAAAGACAGTAGCCAACTTGCAACAAGCAAACAAGATAGTAATCTGGAGGGTCGTGTAAACAAGATGCAACGTATACTGATCGTGAACACTGCCATTGTAGTTATCAAAATCAAAGTTTAGAAAATCAGAATGAAAACTTCAACGAAGTTCTTTACACAACACTATCAAATGACCCATGCTTACGGAATGGAATCCTCGAGTCTACATGCAAATACAAGGACCATTTCCAACAGGCACAACGTAATAGAAATGCCAAGCAGAGAAGTCGTTACAAATGAGAAACTGCGTACATACATACCAATTCTTCGAAATAGAACATACGATTAAACGTACGAACTTCTCCAAGTCACGTCAATAACAAAGTGCATGAGTACGAGTGAAAACAACGCTGAAACCATCAGAAGACAAATGTTCAGCCTGTATCCTTGCTTCACGTGATGTTGTCAACCTCTAAAAAATCGCGATTTGGAGCATACGATCAAAGGAAATCTGAGGGGTCATGCTAAGCGCAATAAATTTACGCATGGATATTTAGTTCAAGAAAGCTGAGAACGCATACAATATATTGTACAGTGTTTTCAAGTAGGGAGAATACCTTACGTTGAAGGTGTTGATATTATTTGATGTTGGCAACATTGTATTTTAGGCTCTCTCTCTGATTAAACATGAAAACATCATAATATTTTCACCCAAAGGACCAAGGAAACACTAGCAAAAGTTGAACCATTGTATCCGAAAATAACCTTTACTGTTTTATTTCCTTTCAAAAAAGAGACTCTGACTGTTTGCTCTGATGACGACGTGAAGGAAAGGGAAAAAGAAGGTTTTCCCCTTGAGCCCTCCACCCACCCTTTCCTCCTCCCATGTCGATACTAATGAGCGAGTCACTTGGTATGAAGAAGAAAAGAAGAAGATGGCGGCGCGGTGGCGTGGCGTAGCGCCGACCCAAAACAAAGCAGAAGCACTCTCC